TAGGGAAAGTTGTCAGCTACACAAATTGTCTCTATTACTAACAAGCTTAAGTGGGGTTTTTTTCATTGGCATTGGGAAATCATCACTTCTAGAAACTTTTTTTGTGTACTGAAGGCTGAAAGACTGCCTCAGGGGAATTGACAAAATAGCTCACCTCTCTGATAGGGTGTGTGGTGGTATGCAGGTAGTCTTTCTACGGAGAGTTTTGGGGCATTTCTCACAACAGCCGGGACACGTGTGCCTTTTAATCACAACGGGCTGATCACAGGGTGAGGATGCATCTAGTAAACTGAAAATGAAATCCACTCCATGGTTATTCAGCACAGGCTTGAAAAACATGGAAAGATGCGTTTTGGACTGATAATAGGGAAAGCCATTCACAAAATGTTAGAATTCAAAAGTTTGTGAACTCCTCAGCTACCTTCAATCATTATTCAATTTTTTGTTGTATTTTAAGGGTGAATAATGCTTTCCTGGACCGACTCCAGAACAAAACACAACCTAATAACCTCTACCAATCTGGATCTTCGGGGAGTCTGGACTACTTCAGTAAGAGTGCCTGGGTAAGCTTTTTGGGTACAGAACATGAAAGCAATGAGATTGTTTAAAAGCTGAAGTTTTTCCTGAGATACTATTATGTGTTTGTGTGTGTTTAGCCTGCCTGACAGAAATTACAGTGCTGGCTGACTGCCTACACTAGCTTTTAAGAGGAAATCCTGTCTTAGATATGAAAGCTGTTTGAATGGGAGGAGGGAGGAACAGCTTGCTCTTGCAGCAGTACTCAGTTGCTTTGCATGCAAGGTACTGCAAGGAGATGAATCCAAGGTGCTTCCAAGGTATAATTTCAGAAGGGTAGTGAAATCATAAGGAATTTTTTGAGAGTCTCGAAATGAAAGATATTTGGAAATGCTGTGAACATTTTAATATGATATTGAAAGTTCTCTTCAACCTATGAAAGGCACAGCTATTCACTTTCTACCAATATAAAATTATGTCAAAGAAGACCCAACTGCATCCAATTTAAAAATGTAGTATTTGTAAGGATTCTTTGAAAAAAAGGTATTTTGACTGTAGCCTATTAAACATACTTTTTTTTTTTTCAGCTGCCGTAATGAGGTATTAATGTGACTGTTACTTAGAATTGCAGTCTTCAGTGTTAAAAACAAACAAACAAACAAACAAAAAAACCCAAAAACCCAACACACCAGTATTTCCATCATGGCAATTCCCATTGGGTTGAAATTCCATTGCTGAGAAGACCCTGGTGCAGAAATGAAAGATTTTACAAAGACCCCACAAAAGGAGTGGGAGCCTGAGAGAATTTAATGTATGTGCCAGTGCAGAGAAAGGTGTTTAGTTGAACTGGATTAGTTGGACTGTCTGGTGAGGATGAGTATCTTGGCAGATGAATGCCAAGAAGTCTTGTGTTCAAGCAGCTATGATGTCAAGGATTGATTAAGAAGCAGATGCTGTTGCTGCTGGAGTTTTCCATATAGTAGGGGTGGAAAAAGAGTGTCTTAATCACTACAAGATTTGGGCAAGCCCTGGGCCGTGGCAGAGGGCCTGGGAACCTTTTGTTCATAGCAGTTCTTTTGGTCTTGCTGAGAGGAGGTAGGACCTGCCAGCTCAACCTCCCATATGGTCTGCGGGCAGCTGCTTGGAGAACCAATTGCTTAGAGGCCTGACTGGTAAGGTCTGCATCATGTGCCAGACTAGTAAAAGAATGTAAGAGAGTTCTCGGTATGGCAGCTTTGAACTATCTCCTAAAATAAGACATGTCTGCAGATAGCAGAATTAGAGTGTTCAGGTAAGACAGACGCATGTCTGCAGATAGCAGAATTAGAGTGTTCAGGTAGGACAAACCCAACTGATACCGAGTAAGGGGCAAAAGGTATCCCAATTATTTATCCTAATTTGTAAACTGTTTCCTGATAAACTCAAAAGTAAATGTGTGACACAGCCGAGATCCCCAATATCTGAACTTGAGCATCTCGATTGGAGTGCCTGCTGTCACTGCTCAAAACCTTGCCATTGTCTGCAGAAGGAGCAGAGTTTTGCCTTTAGCCAGATGCCATATGTCCTCTTCCGCAGGGCAGGTGGTGATACCACCGAATGAGTTCACTCAGCCCAGGCACAGTTTTAACAGAAGACGGCTCTGTGATGTAGGCAGCCAATCTATGTGGGTTTTTTTTTAATAGATATATTCAAGGAATGTATCAACATAAATGCAATAAAACCCTGTGAGTAGGAGTGATGAATTTCCTACTCTGATGTTTACATAATGGCTCCCAAGGAGCCTTCCTTCTGTTGGGTAATGCTAGATTATCTGTTTTTCCTTTATGCTATGATGTGAGATTAGAAGACTAAACAAAGCAGGGAAAGAATAAACTATGAAAGAATATTTCATCATGGAAAGGAATTAAAAATCAGTATTGGTAACAAGAAAGAAAAATATCTCTCAAAAGATAGGCTGTAGGCTGCAACCTTAGTGTCTTTGATTATACCAAGATTCTTCTCCTCTCCCTTGGGATTTTAAGCAAAAAGAGCTGAACTCCAGGTGGGGTTTAGAAGTCATGTAGTCTGCAGCCTGGCATTTTACATTACAAGGAGGCTAACTGAAGCAGGTCAGACTATGTACTAAGAATAAAAGAATGGAAAAAGGTTCCCAAAGTTAAGACCTGCAGGAAGTTTTTGAGCCTTCTCCATCTGTGCAGTGGCGCTGAAGAAGAGGAAATATTTCTTCTCTTTCTCAATTATTTTTTTCCCATTTGAATTCTTTACAGTCACAATGACTTCACACTTACTGAAACTGAACAGCACACTGTGTTATAGGTATACCTGCTGTATTTTTCATTATTATTTCTATTAGTCTGGCTTCCTAAGGAAATGAAGTTTGTATGATCATGCTGCCTGTTTACGTGTAAAAAGGATTTCAACCTGCTGTCCAATCTTAGCCAAATTTGAAAGGGAGTGTCGGTCTCAAAGATAATTAAGTTTCTACACATTTCATGAAAAGCAACGGCTGGGCAAAGAAGAGATCCCAAAGCAGTGCCCCACTCTGAGGGGCAGTGGGAAGGACCTGGGCTCTCAATGTGCTGACCAGCTGCAGCCCTCCAGCTGATCAGCACGGGCACAGCTCCAGAGCAGCTGCAGCTCTGCCCTGCTTTCCTGGGGGCTAGGAGAGGCAAAAGGGAACATGGATATCCCAGGGGACTTGGAGAGGAGGAGGGAGAAGGCAAATTTATTGTGTCTGGGCAGGCAGGAGGAGAACAGTGGCATTGCCCAATTGTCCCTTATCCATAGGAAACCATTTTTTCATTAATTCATGTGCCCTCCAGATATCTTGTGGTTTATTAAGAGTATTTACAAGCTGTTATTTCAAGAAGTGTCTTCATGAAAGTAATCTTTTCTCCCTTTTTGGTTATAAATGCCAGGGCGCTCTCTGGGTGGTTGTGTGGTTTCCTTTTTTAATGGGAAGACAAATTAATGAATTTCCACTTCTCTCTGTGAGCTACTGCACCCTTGAGAAAGCACTGAGTCTTGTTGTATGCTATGAAGGAAGTTTTGATGGCCTCTGGGCTGCCATTGTCTCTAACATAAACATAAACTTTTTTGGATAGGAAGGTAAAAAAATAACAGTTGTCATTTTGACATCAAAGTTTAATCAATAGTATTTAATCCTTCCACAACTGGGGCCTATGACTACAAGAGTATCTGTTCATGGTAATGGAACAAATGTTCAGTTTTATTTAATAATTAAAACACTTCTATTTTTACAAAACAATAACTAAAACAGTTGTACATATTTATGTTCACTCCCTTACGAGATTTGTGCATGTCCAAGTAGGGAGGGATTTGCAGAGGCGAGGTGCTATTGCATGGCAAGCCTGTAACAAAGTCCTTGTTTATTTTTGGTGTGGAAAAAGAGCACACAAAATGACCCTTTTGTCCCTTCTGTTAATAGGGAGAGGTCACATGTTGAATAGATGATATTTATATGTTTGCCTTTCTTTAATGAAATACTGGTTGTCTTCTTGAAACTCTCTGAGCTATAGTAGAATGCAGAAGGCAACATGACAAATTACACCTTCCTGTTTCATGTCTCTATTACACCTGGTGTCACACATAAGAATGAGAAATGCTGTCTTGAATGCTGACTCTGCTCTTTCAGTGGATGCATAATTCTAGATACTTGTGAGAAACAACTGTTCCCTGAATACACAGGTGCAGTGTGACAGGAAACCACATTTTCTTCCTTTCCCATATGCAGAACAGGAACTCGATGGATGCTAGATAAATTTGTTTTGAGGAAACATGATTTGTGGATAACAATATTTTAAATAAACATGGTTTGTGGGTTAGCATTTGATTTAGTTTTTGTAGCATGATCCATGGGAATATTTCTTTAGGGTCTCAACCAGCATTTGATTTATGCTACTTGCTACCAACTTGAGAGGGAGAATGCTGTGAAGTTTACTGTTGAACCATAGCTCAAAGGTCTCTGACATTAAAAGACCAGCATGCATACTTCAGTTTTCTATATAGAATCAGTCTTTAATGCAGACTTTAATGAGCTTTTAGATGTGTAAAGTTGCATTGAACATGCTGGTTTCCCATCACAAAGAAAAAGCTTTTATTTAACATGTGAATATTAGGAATATAATGTTTACGTAAGAAGGTTCCAGAGTGCAATCCTCAATGGTTACCATTGTTTTAACAAAGAATGTGGTTTGCTAACTTAGCTTTAACCTGTTTAGTCTATGTACAATCTGAGTTGACAAGATTATTCTTTTTTTTTTTTTCTTTTGTCCTAAAACTGTTTTATTTAGAGTAATGTGCTTGTCTTTCCTGGCAGAATGGTGGCAGAAAATAAATAAACTATTCAGCAGAAGTATCAGCATCGATATAGGGATCTCATATGAATAGGTCCAGGCATGTTGTAGCTGAGTGTAATGACTTACCTCTGACAAGGTAGTCAAACAGCATATGCAGATGTCTTCTGCCTGTCTTAACTTTGAGTTTCCTTTGAAAATCTCAGCCTAAAAGAAAGTAGTGGGAGTCTGGGGAGGAGCAGAAGAAATTTTTCACTCTTTCATATTGTGTGAGATCAGGAAAGGATTGAGGTATCTGAAGATATTTGGAACACTTCTAGATTGATTTTTTCCCAGCAAAAACAAGATATGCTTATCTCCTGAGTCAATAAACCCTGCTATTCATATTGAGTTCAAATTGAAGAAATATTTATTGCTAGAACTGGAATCTTGCAGAAAGGTTTGCTTTTTATTTTAAGTGGAGTGTCAGAAGATAGGAAAGGGCAGCAAGTAATCAAGGAAGTTCCATACAACTTCATAACCATAATTCCTTGCATACATATGTGATTGTGCTGTACATTGTACTGTACTAATGCATTGTTTTTCTTTCATCCAGGAGTCAGACTACTTGGAATAAAGGAGGAGAAAAGTAAGAATAATGAATTTGTTCATTCTTATTAGTACCAATGCTGATGTTAATTTAGCTACATATTTAACATTTCATTCTGACAGCTTATATGTTTTAATTTCCAAGTTATAAGAGAAAGACTCTTAAAATAAATGCTTTCCAATTCTCTGTCTGGGGCCATGCAATGGCACATACCTATTTTGAAACAAGTTCTTTTGTAAAGAAGTGGAGAACGTGTATTTCAAGTCAGAGGAAGTGCTGGTGCCATGGAAGACATCTACAGGGGGAGCCTTGATATTTAGTGCTAAAACCTCATTACAGCCACCTTCTCTGTGTGAATGGATAAACCTGGGCAGCTGAGGAATGTGTCTGGAAGTGCAAGAGGTGACTCTGCAAACTTTCATTGGTCTCAAGTAAAAGAGGATGACTCTTCACGGGCTACGTACTTTCTATTATTTCCCATGAGCAACAGGGACACTGTTCAAATCAATGGAGGATGTTGGTAAAACACCATTGAATCAGAGAAATCAGGGTCTCTGTTTTCAAATGGACTTTTCATGATGCTCACTGCACCTATGTTCTTTTTTGAAAAGGTTTCCCTACCCTTATTCCCAGTTCCAACATTAAGATTTGTGCAGACCCTTTACTTCTAGGCTTGGAGCCTTTTAAGCAAGTTCAGGTACTGACACACATTATTCTTGTTTTAGGAGATGGCTTTGACTTAACCCTTTTTTTTTTTTTTTGAGAGAGAGAGAGAGAGCTAGGATTTTATAAAGAATAATTTAAAAAAAAAATCAGACATAAAAAAGCCCTCTGCTTTCAGCCCTTCTCCCACAAATGCAGATTTTATTCTGCAAATTTCTTCTTCATTTTCTGCTTCAAAAGTTGTTTTAGTGTTTTTGCAGCAGGGATGGATTCTGAAGACGGTGTCTAAATAATATAGCTGGCCTCCCATGAGTCGTCGTTTCAGTTTTATGAGGAGTAAAATTGTTATTAAAAATTAACTCAAAGTCACTAAAGAAATGACAATTAGTAGATAAAGGCAGTTCCCCATAGGGGAAGAAATGACCATCTTTTGCAGCCCACAATGCTATTCAGTTTTGTAAACTGTGGGCAGCTGAAGGAGTTCACCGCATTGGATTCTTTGTTGTTTTTCACAGTATCTACAATACCAGTAATTTATTTACATATGAACTGTACAAGAATTATGGATGTGTGTACTTTTTAAGCCTTGTTTTACTGTTGTTTTGAAAACACATTTCAGCTTGCTACATTAATATATTGCTGAAAGAGTTATTAATATGTCTGCATATAATTAGGATATTTTGTGAATTAAATTTACAAAAAGATAGAAATCCCTTCATGAAGGCTTTGCATAATTACAAGCTAAAACCTGTTGGAAGAAAATGGAGACTTTATTTTCCAGTGGACTTAATCCTAGGGGTGATGACTTTGATTTTTGTTTTTGCTGCATAAGATAATTTTTAATTCTGTTTTCTCCCTCTTGTTACAGGGTATTGAAGAAATATCCACTTTTATCTGGCCTTGGCCAAATGACCTTGTAAAAGCTCCAAGAAAGCAGCCTTTTATCATTGTAATTTTTTTTTCTTACCCTGACTTCGACTTCACACCCACTTCATGAGCAATCTGCAGAGACTGGTTTCTAGCTGTCATTATTCACGCATATTTGAAGCAGCTGATTATGAAAGTCCTATTTAATTTTTAATAAGACAATGTGTCATTTTTTTTCATAAATTGTTTTTCCTCTTGCAGAATGTAATTATCCCAGTCTTTCAGATCTGAGAAAAAGAAGGCATTAGTGGCTAGAGAAGCTGAAGTAGTATCTGGATTTACTTGCTGCTCTATACCCAGACAAAAACATCTCATAGACTTGAACTAAAGAAGCAGGTAGAAAGTTTCCTTTTGAGATGGGAAGGAAAGGTGTTGCTGGTTTGGGGCTTTTTTTGGTTTTTATTTGGTGTGGATATTGTGGAATTGTTTTACTATTGTATTCAACAGCAGGCACTCAAGAAGAAACAGATGTGTTCATGATCTTTTAAATAGGTACTTAAAAAAATACAATACATGGAAGAAATAAAACTTGAAATAACACTGAAATTTATTCAATCTCTCCCATTTTTTTTGTGATCTGATATACCATTTTTTGCTTTGCCTGTTTTACCTTAGTAACTTCTGTTACAAGAGTGGGAAAAGCTACTGCAAGGTTAGCTTTAGTTTCTTGATCTTCATTGTCCCTCTAGTCTAATGGAATTTAATTTATAGCTCCCTGTTTCTGCACACAACAACATTTTAATGCTTTTCAAAAGTCTGATGCATGACCAAGATATTCCTAATGGAAAAGAAAGGTCCAGAGTACACATTAGAAAAAACACACTGACAAGAAAAAAGTATCTGTGTCATTTACAGGTACAACCTAAACAAAGTTAAAGGTTTACTGAGTAGTTCTTTTTCAGTATGCAGGCATCTCACAATATTTTTCCATTACCCTTGCAGTATGGAAATTTCATAATAGATCACCTGAAATTTTCTTTTGAACCACGGATGCTGCTACGTTTACTTTCCCCTCTGGGACTCTCTGCAGTTGCCCTTGGTTCTCTTTGCCTCAGAGAATTACTCATATCTCTCATATTATTAGCTAGTTGGTGTTAATAGGAAATGCTGGAGATCTTAGGGTGATGAGGCACTGGAAGAAGCTGTCCAAAGAAATTGTGGATGCCCCATCCCTGGAAATGTTCAAGGCCAGGCTGGATGAGGCTTTGAGCAATCTGGTCTAGTGGAAGGTGTCCCTGCCCATGGCAGGGGGGTTGGAACTAGATGGTCTTTAAGATCCATTCCAACCCAGACCATTCTATGATTCTATTACCTTGGTAATGCTCTGTGTTTTACCCTTCTTTTAACTGTCTTACAATGGGAAAATTCCTTTGGCAGACTTTTGCATAACTACACAATGGCTCTGTATTGCAAGTGGTACTTGGCTCTGCTATTGGACTGCTGCTTTGGAAATTAAATTCACATCTCTCTCCAAGAACTCCCTCACCCAGCCTCCTTTAGTAGATATCAGGGCTGGGGATAAATGTCTGGAGAGTGAGATATATGTATGTGCATGAACATATATTTTATAGGAAATGTGTTTTAATCAGTTCCTTGTATTGTTCTGTAATCAGACAGACTTGTAGGTGATCTTTTTGAAGGAGTGAACCTGCAGTCTCTCCGCACTTGGTGTACAATACCCCTAGGCCCTGCTGACAAAGGCTGAGTGGGAGGTGAAGTCGCCATGGTCACAGATAAGTTAAAATTCAGTGTGATTGTGTTGCTGTGTTTCTATATCCAAAGGAAAATAATAACTTTTTTATTAACCTGCTACTTTTACATTCAGGAGCAGTGACGGCAGGTCACCTTGAGTAACCTCTTCCATTAAGCTTGTCTGCTTTCTTTTGGATGTCTTCAAAGATGAAACTTGATCACAATCTTCAAAGTGCTTCTCCTTATCCAGCATTTCAATCTCTTATTTGAAATGCTCTCTATGAGTATTTCAGACATTAACTAATCCAGCCTTTTTTAATGGCAAAGTATCTGAATTTTTCCTCTTCTATCTTTCTGAACAGAACAAACAAATCTATATGAACAGTGACCCCAGAAATGTCTTTGAGAGCTGTACCCTGCAATGGAGATGATAAGAAGTTACATGAATCCACAAATTGGTGTTAGCAGGATGTCTGGAAAATGCTGTTCTTATCCTACTGGAAAGCTTCCAATATCTCAGGATTACCACCTCCCCACACACATGCTGCCAAAACTTTATGCTTGAAATCAAGGGGATGGTATAACATCTCTTTAAAGGGGTTATAATGAAATTACCTGGCAATAGACTGGGATAAGGGGTTCATGTCTGTCAGGAGTTAGGAACTGATAGTTGTATGTGTTTGCTACCTAGAGCAAACCTTTGATAAATGTTTTCAAATAAAAATAAGTTTCTCTAGTTATAACTTACCCAACAGAATTAATTATCTATTATGCATTGGCATAAAACCAGATATTGTTACTACATAGCAGTTAATGGAGGTTTGTTTTCTTGTCATGAAAATTGTTGCTGTCTCAATATAATCTGTGCTGATACCTCTTTGCTATTTCAGAAACAAACCTTCCAACAGGGAGTGGTGTGGGGCTGGGATTTACAAGAGGAAACCCCTTGCTTTTTCATTGTAGAGACAAATTCATTTTAACAAAGTGACTAAACCATTATGACCAGCTATTCTGAATTCTGATATAACTTGACAGCTAGATTCTTATGTTTAGATTTTATGGTCCGCTTAATCAGAAACTACCTTCCTATGAAGAAATGCAATGCTCAGTTAAGGATTTACAAGAATCATTCTCCATTATCTATTTAAAGTTGTTCCAGTGGTTTAACTATCCCTGCTGTTAAAAATATTTGCCTAACTCCTAGCTGAAACTTGCCCAGTTTCAAGTATCAGTTATTAGATTTTCTTAACCACTTTCCTGGTAAATTAAAGTTTTCTCCTGTTAGGACTCTTATTTTTTTCAGTGTGCATATTTGGACAGCTTCATTCAACTTGTAGTCCTTGTTAAGCTTTTATTCTTACAAATATCCCACATTTCCAGAAAGCCTTAGGTACGATAGGATTCAGTATAAGCCTATATACTTTTTCGTATCTACCCTAGTGCCCAGACACTGAGGAAGAATATTGTTAGCTACTAGAAAGGGAGCTAATTGGAATGGACCTTAAAGATCATCTAGTTCCAACCCCCCTGCCATGGACAGGGACACCTTCCACTAGACCAGGTTGCTCAAAGTCTCATCCAGCCTGGCCTTGAACACTCCCAGGGATGGGGCATCCACAACTTCTCTGTCCCTGTAGGAGAGGTGTTCCATCCCTCTGATCATTTTTGTGGCCTTCCTCTGGATCATTCTCTGGATGCACTCCAGCAGGTCCATGTCTTTGCTGTGCTGAGGACTCCATAGGTAA